TTGCTACATGCCTTACTTCTTGCCTATCTCACACTGCGAATTTTTTCTAAGCTCTATACTGAACATTAAATCTCTTACGAAAAAAGAAGTAAACAAAATGAACACAAAACGATCAGCTTTAAAAAAGGACTCGTAACTGGAAAAACCGAATGAAAAAACAAATACTTTTTTCACACCCAACCCAGTTCTGCGGAATCAGAATCAACGTTGAGTTTAAGCAAGCGAATGAGCCAAGTAATGAGTAAAGTGCCATGCAGATGTAAATTTTTCCCACTTGTGACGAATGCAGCTATCGATTTATTTTGCATGCTAGTTAACATTCGTGTCAGTCAGCTGTTGGCTCTCACACTGGCCACTAGAATCTTCCTGCCTATTTGTGGCAGCCAGCTATTGGCTCTCACTGTGGCCAGTACAAAATGACCGCAAACTACATGAAAACTGCCATAGAAGCATGAAAAAATCGATTATTTCCACTATCGATGGGAGTTGGGAAATGCAAAGTCGGTGTTGCTCTTTCCGCTAACTTTGAGCATGTGCATGTAAATTTTGGTGCAAATTCGTCGAAAACTGCAGCCGTGCATTCGTTACCCACGCACACACACACACACACACACACACACACACACACACACACACACACACACACACACACACACATCCTGCCTTTTATAGAGATATAATTATTTTTGTTGTTTTTTGTCTCTCAAATTTCTTATATCGGCCTATTTATTCTACATATAAGAAGCATATGTGGACAATCTTTCTTTATTATCATCTATATCGATAATTCTCAAAATGTGTGTATGTTTGTGTGTCTGATTTGATGTTGTTTATGCATTTCAACAGTTTTCATCCGATTTTGATGAATTTTTTTTGTTTGATAAATAATTCTTCAGTGCCGATTTTGAGTCCAAATTGTTGGCGACAATGGCTCTCCACTACTTCCTGTCTATTATAACTCTCCGCAACGTTTTACTATTTACTATCTGTTCTTGGATATATATCTTTCATAAAAACTTTAATAAAAATAAATAGTTCAAATTATTACAATAATATTTATTATATTATACAGTTCCTTTTTCAGGGCCAACCCCCCCATTCAAATTGTTAACCCCCCGCCATTTAGAGATGTGCCTCAGTTGCACGACAAAAAATTCCCAGTAATGAAAGACTTGCTCAAAGACAGGTTATACTGCTAGTATATATATATATATATATATATATATATATATATATATATATGTGTGTGTGTGTGTGTGTGTGTGTGTGTGTATTGTTTATTACTGGTGTGAAACAGATAGATAGATAGATAGATAGATAGATAGATAGATAGATAGATAGATTGATTGATTATATGCATGCATGTTCTGGTTTTCAATTTTTATGGTAATCTCATAATTGTCTTATATTACGTACACTTGCGTCCAGAATAAACGGGTGTGCCCTGTGATGTAAATATCGATTTTTTCAGTCCCGCCCACTGTTTTTCCTGACATGCCGTTTAGTTTATTTTTACACTTTTCTGCTACAACCTCTGCTTTTTGTTTGTTTGTTTTTTTAACGAATTTCCCATGCTACCTTTCTGTTTTAAACTTAAAAGTAATCAAAACCACACACTAGAAATTTGTACGTTCGTATGCTACGTCCTCTATTGTGAAGATACATCGATCCTCATGTTTCAAAAATCCTCTTGTCGATCCAGCCAACGAATAACACTTTTTTTTTATAACCAGTAATATTTTATAAACTTTGTTTTATTTGTTTTATGCTTTTATTTTACATTTCTGGTTGTATGGAACGGAAGTTGTTCAGTGAAATTTTTTGCAATGACGTTGTGAAAGATAGAACGAACTCGAGAAACAAAGAAAGAAAGGAAGCAAAGCGGGGGAAATACCTGCATTGAAAGAAGCCCAAAAAATATCGGGGGAAATTAAAGAAGAAAAAAAAAAGAGAACAAAGTCATTATCCATTCATAATTACGGCGCTTTTATCCTAACATGCTTCTTCTATCCATTTGTTCCTTGTCCTCTATCAAGACAACGAAGTTAAAGAAAGCGAACCTCGACCAAATGCTGGCGCTTGCGGCGTCACGTGGCGTCACGTCTGCGCAGCCGAGAGTAAAGAAGAAAATCAATGGAAACATAACCAAAGTCGCCATTAGTAAGAATGGGGCTTCGTTACCGGAACGAAAAAGCAGAAAACATGATAAGCTTCCTTGAACAAAATTGGTTAATCAAATATTATAAAAATCTTTGCGGCAAGTTTCAGAAAAAATTTCTTATCGATCCTTTCTCGTCCTTCTCTTTTTTTTTTTTTAGCTAGAAAGAAACAATGACAAAAAAAACAAATCCATCACTTCGTTTATACATTTCTTTTCACGCAGCCACACACGTTTCTTCCTTTCAATATCTCTTTATTTAGTTCTCATATATATATATATATATATATATTGAAGTTATGATATACAAGTTTATATATCAAGCTAATAGTGAGTAATCGAATAACAATCTAGAAAAAACTCCTTAGCGTTATTTATATATATATATATATATATATATATATATATATATATATATATGGGAAGGAAGAAAACAACAAACGCTAAGGAGTTTTTTTTTTTTAAAGATTGTTATTCGATTACTCACTTTTTTTTTCTAGATTGTTATTCGATTACTTACTATATATATATATATATATATATATATATATATATAAATAATCGGCTGTAAGACAGTAAAGCCACTGAAACACAAGGGGTTACTCGGCGTGAAAGAGTTAGAAACAAAGAACTTTTCTATAGAGGGAGAATAAAAGAAGAGTAACCAAGAGGACAATAAATAGCGACTGACATTTCATTTAAATTCTTCCATATTAAAGTTGCCTGGAAAGCATGAAACCTGGAGGGAGTTCCACAAGCGCGAAGTGCGAGAAAAGAAACTGTTAGCATAGAATTTCTGGTTACATCTACCTAGCTCAACAGTAAATTGGTGAGACCTCGACGCCAGTCGAGTATTCCGCTTAAATTCAAAGAGTCTAGATACCATAGCGAAGAGCTCAACTGAACAATTACCATGAAACTATTTATAGAAAAGGCAAAGGAAGACAACGTTACGGCGGTTGGAATGTGACTTAAACCGAGATTCAAGATAATATTGCTGATTCTTCTTCGGATTTTATCAAACGCTTTAGATAAATAGCAGGTGCACCGGGCCATATGTGACAGTAACACAAATAGTAGACTTATGGATATATAAGATAGACTCTGGAGAGAAAATCGTCTAGCACGATACGGTGAACCAACCTTCCTAACAGCTGACCTAGCAATGGATTCAATATAGTCTTTCCACTTCATGTCAACCGAGAACATTTGTCCAAGTAAGCTAAACGAGTCACTCTCCTGGAGGTCAGCATCAGCCATGCTGATGGAAGGCAGAGAGGATTCTCTCGGGATTAATAGAGAGCAGTTTAGTTTTGGAGGAGTTAAATTTTTTTTTAAATCTTTTACCCCAGTTAACAGACTGAAGGTCGTCTTGGATATCAGCTACCATTTTGACCTTATCACACTGATCAGACTTACTATCGAGACAGAAACAGATGGTTGTGTCATCAGCGTAGATACCAAGTTGAGAGGTGATGCCATCGGGATGGTCATTAACAAAAATCAAAAACAAAATAGTGTCAACGACTGAGATCTGGGAGACACCAGCTTTTGCACGAAAGGAACTGGAAGTTGTGGCCGTTCAGGATTACTTTCTATCCACGATTTTAACCCAGCACTACATGACCACAGATCGGTACGCGGTTTGTCTACGTCAGCTTGTTTGTTACGGGCAGAGTATTGACAGGAAGAGGATTATCTTTCCATCGTTTCTGTATTTAGTACATTGCATTTTTATTATCATTATTATTATTATTATTTTATACGCATTTTAAATCTTACTTATTATAAAACGCAGATTCTGTGTGTGTGTGTGTGTGTGTGTGTGTGTGTGTGTGTGTGTGTGTGTGTGTGTGTGTCTATACGTTTATATATTGGATCAGATTTCCTACATTTTTCAACCGATTTAAACAAAACTTCACAGGACTGTGTAAAATTACCTTGCGGTGGTTCTGACAGCGCCAAAAATTGGAAAAACACAATTGTTTTTGCATGAAATCAATTTGAAAACACGATAAAACAAGATTCTGTGGCCAGAATGAAAGGGGGACAACTCATATCGAGTTATACTTATTATAAAACCCAGGTTGTTTGTGTGTGTGTGTGTTCGTTTATATATGGGATCGGATTTCCTACATTTTTCAACCGATTTCAACAAAACTTCACTTTTTTTTAGCAGGTAGTGTTTCTTATTGTCTTGCACACTTTATTCTTTATTTTTACATTCAGAATGCTTTAAAAATTCCATTTACAAGACAATTGTTTATAATAAAATTTTATTCAATCGGTAGACTCATAACGATTGAAAACAATGTTTTTGTTTGAGTTTGGGTTTGACCAATTCGTAAAAAAAAAACAAAAAATACTAATTAAGACATGCGTGTTCGTCAGCCCTAAACAATAATCTTTGTCAATTTTATTTTTCAGTCTTTATGATGGTCGATACTTGATCTATCTCTTACTGTTATATCCCCGGGCAACGCCGGGCTCTACTGCTAGTATTTTATAAAACGTAAAATATTGCGTTGGTACATATTTATCAGGCGTTTTTGTAGGCGAGTTATTTGTTAATAAAAATGCTGTTTTGCTTACTTTTTTTAATAAAAATAGTATTTTATTTTCAAGTTATAAAAATGCGTGTCGATAATCATACCTATTTAAAAATGTTATTGTTGAATTGTTAGGTTTCTTTTTTCATAATAAATATTGTTTAAAATCGCCTGATAATTATGCACCAACTCAATGCCACCTGCACAATATATATATATGTGTGTGTGCGTGTGTTGTGTGTGTGTGTGTTGTGTGTGTGTGTGTGTGTGTGTGTTTGTGTCAGCTAAATCATGTTGAAACACCGCTTCCCGTATGATCACCGAAGTTAAACGACGTCGAGCCTAGCCAGTACCTAGATGGGTGACTGCTTGTGAATGCCAAGTGTTGTAAACTTGGATGTGCAAGTGGTATAATGGATAATGGCTCGGAATTGATAATCAGAGAGTCGTGTTCCTATTCTTGTGTTTATTATGTTTACTTATACGCAAATACCGTTTAGAATTTTTCTCTTCTCCCCCCCCCAAGCTATTGGTGAATTGGTAAGACCTGTATCACTAAACCATCTTTATTATCTACCCAAAAATCTCCAAAAATATTCTTAAAATCTAAAAATATTTTCTGGCTTTAAATAACCTACAAAGGGTTGATAAGCCGTTGAAAAGGAATCAATCAATGGTTAACACCAAGAAATACCAGATGGACTGAATCGAATTTAATGTCAAAAAGGAACATTTGTTCTAAGAGAAGTTGATCTGTGGTGACCCCAGTAGATACAGGGCTCATCTCAGATGATACCAAAATAGATTCGACACTCAGTGTCATACCAGAGCGTCATAGACACCAAGTGCATCTGTGGGTAGGCCTCCTAGTTACCAGATGCAGTTTCCCAACTCAAACAGGATCCCAACTGCGCTTAGGATGTGCCCATTTTGGGGTCGATTGGCATTAATGAGGTATGGATAGAAACCTATAATTAATACTGGATTTCCATAAACTTATAATTAAGACCGGATTTTGTTAGGAACTTATAATTAATGCCCGTATGTTTGTTTCAGTTTTTATAATTATTACCGAATTTTCTAATTTCTATAATTAATAACGGATTTTTCGGTGGATATTAAGGGGTTAAGATGTTTGTTTCTCCCACCATTTTTTTTTTTTTGTTGCTCGTGTCCTTCCTATTTCTAAGTTAAAATGTTTCTTCATCTTTTTCTTTCTTTTTCCCCTTGTGTAATCTCTTCTTTTGTCCTTTCTTTCTCTTTAAACGTACGGCCACATCACGTTAAAACACAAGTTCCCGTACGATCACCGAAGTTAAGCAACGTCGAAGCTGGTCAGTACCTAGATGGGTGACTGCTCGAGAATATCAGGTGCTTGGATGTGCGGATGGTGTAATGGATAATGGTTCGGAAATTTTAATCGAAGAGCCGAGTTCCAATTCCAGTTGGGTTTGTTATATTCACTTACGCGCAAATACCCTTGCGAAAGATATGAGTCCACTTCATACTCCCCGCTATGGGCTAATCTAATTAGTCATACTTGTATCACCAAAATCATTATTATCTCAAACATATAAATAAATAAATTTTCGTAAAAAATATTTAGCTTTATTAAATCACCCATAGAGGTTAACTCTTTGAGCCCTGACCACAGCTTTACCCGTGGGGGTCGAAAAATGACTTAATGCCCAGCCACCGGTTTTACGACGGATAAATATTTGCGTTGTGTTTTGCTATTCTCGCGCATCAAGAGAGGCAGCATCTGCTGGGTAGACTGGCACACAAAGAAAGAATTCTGGCGATAAAGTAAAGGAATGCAATCATACTCTCTCCCTGCTACGTATGATGCTTATATATTTTTGTAACTATTTTGATGTCTACCGTGAAACATTACATAGCAATTATTTGCAAATTTTGACTCAGGAGCTCAGGCAGAAGGATTAAAATTGTTCAGGAGCGCAGTGCTCAAAGGATTAATATGCCGCTAAACAAAAACAACCGTCCAATCATAATTAATACTGTATATCTATAAACCTATAATTAACACGGATTTCTTCCTTTCTTTCTTTATGTAGTGTGTTCCCTCAAGACGTAGGTGATCATGCCTCTCCACAACTTCCTGTCCCTTGTAGCTCTTAATAAACTTTGTCCTTCTATTATTTCTCATAATGCCAGCACTTTTATTTCGATCTTTATGATTATTCCCAAATTTTTATTTTTATAATACCGGATTTTACGGTGGCTATTACGGTTAAGGATTTTTTTGGTTTGTTCCGTCCATTTCTTAAGTTGAAATGTGTCTTTATCTTTTTCTTTCTTTTTCCCTTGTGTAATCTCTCTTTTGTCCTTTATTTCTCTCTTTATTTATTAATGACTATAGTTCATACAATATCTATTTCTCCCGTTTCTATTTTTTCTATTAACCGATTCTGAGAGATTTTCTTTACTTTCTTCGCTTCGCATTTTCCTTCTTTCTTGCATTGAAATTTCTTAGTTCTTTCTTTCTTTCTTTCTTTCTTTCTTTCTTTCTTCTTCGATTTTTTTTTTTTTTTCGTCGTATTCTTATTATCTCTATATTCTTCCGCTCTTTGGAAACATATCTTTTTTCTCTCCCTTTAGTCGCATATACTGCCTTACATTAAGTAAGTCCTTATTTTTTTCATTTTTTTCCTTTCTTCTTCTTTGCTATATTCTGCCATACTTTAAGGATGTCGTATTTTTTTTAATTATTTCTTGCTTCTTTTGCTCTAATTCAAGATTTACTAGGCTCAAAATTGCTTAGAATTCTGTCATTGTTATCACTGTTCCCAACCATTTGGGCGTGCTTTACTACTTGATTGACTGATCAGTTTAACCTATTCGGATTTTTTTTTTTTTTTTTTTGGATTGGGAGGGAAATCCGTTCTTTCTTATTTTTAAGTTTTTTAAATGGCTATTTCACTTGTTTACAGACTCACACAACAAGCACATCTTTCCCTAAATGCTTTACCAGAATTCTTCAGATAATCGCTTCCCTATGCCTATTTTCAACCACGTTGATCAAACTATCATTTCAAATTATAGCTTTAGCTAATCTTTAGTTCTCGAAATGATCTTTGTATTGATAACTTCAACTATGATGGAAGCAACAATGTTTTGTTCCTGGATCCAAATAATTTAAGATTAAATTCTTCTCTTTAACTTTTAACAGCTCCATTGTGACTACTATATAGAAAAGAGGGTATTTGTCGCAAATAGCATCAACATTTATCCAGCTAGTTGGCGAGATTGCTGTTAGAGGTGATGGTTTGCGCAAACAGTTTACTAAACATATACAAGTTTGCAGAGCCGGTTTTTAAATTCTTTTGGATTTTATATCTATTTACAAAAAAAAAGTAAGTTTGTAAAGAAAAAAAACAAAAGAAGAGAGAGGACATATTTATAATATCAAAAAATTTGGGATGTGAAAGAAAAGAGAACTTGTTCGTAACAAATTTTTATTCCCACCATTGGAAAGGGAGTAAGGGTAGAGGTGGGCGCTTCGAGGTGGTGTAATGGTTAGCAAGCTTGTCTCGCTAAAACAATCACGACTGAGTAGTGAGTTCGATTCTCACTGGGTGCCCCATACTTTCGGCCTTGTGCCACATCTAAGCTACGCTTGGAAAATCACTAAGGGTAGAGATTTTATTCGATCGTACTCGTAATTAAGCTGCTTTTTTCCCTTCAGGACGTAGGTAACCATGGATCAACATTGATTTTTTTTCTTTATAATCTGCTAATTGCTATCTATTCTTGAAAAAGATCGTGGAGTAATTTCCCGCCGCTGTCTCTTCAATTTTGAATTCTGAATTTTCCTTCTGTTTAATTGTCACCTTGCTATTTAAAAGTTTCTGTTTGTCTATCACGCTATTTAACCCATAGCTGGAATGAGAAAACTAGTTTTTTTTTTTTGTTGTTGTTTTTTTTTTTGTGTGTTTTTTTTTTTTTTTCTGGTTAGGAGGGTGGTTAAATATCCAGCAGGATTAAAAACAAAACCTGTCAAAGGGTGAATGAATCTTCTTGCAGGATCAATGACCATCTAGCATAGCCATGTATACACCTACTGAGGTAAAGACACGGCATTGCTGGGCGAAAGACTCTCTAGACTAGTCAACGGTCAAAGGGGAAGGTTTCTTCAATGGAATCAACGGCCACGTGTTTTTTATTAAGTCGGGGCTTGAAGTTGGAGGATGTCGACTGTGGTCTGAGTTGCAGAGGAATGGGCTCCGGCCAAGTCTACTGGCCCAAGTCAAGCTGCACATGAAATAATACCTCTCTAGCTTTCAACCCAGAACGTGGAGGGAGCAATGACCACAAAAAAGGATAACTTTATACACTAAGGCATTTCGTTCCTTGAGGAACTTTGTCAAGTGTGGAAATTTTCGTAACCTCTATTTATACAAAGAAGTAACGATTAGAAAAAATATCTTTCAAAAAATATCGTTAAAAATTTCAAAACTTAACGATATTTTTTCTCTGCCTTTTTTCTGTTACAAAATAGCATTTCCACACTTTTCTTAATAGATATATATGAGGTTTGATTAGAAAGTAGTGGGTCTGTTGCTATGGTAATGGAGCTAATGTACGCAGAGTGAAACCGCTTGCCACAAATTAACCTTAAACTTTCGCGCATACACACTAAGTTATAACAATCACACACACTTCTATTGTTTATAGTAGTACTTGGAAGGAAAGTGTGTAGAGTGTGGTCGTCTCACCACAACGCAGAAGTTCCATCAGTAACGATGGCTTTTATAGCCGTTTTTTTTTTGCCAAGAACAATATTCCCCAGGTTCGACAACCTCCATATTCTCTAGATCTCGTCCCTGGCGACATTTTCCTCTTCAAAAATCAAATCCCACTTGAAAGGAGCAAGATTCCTAAATGTCGAAGAAATCCAAGAGAATGCGACGAGGCGGTTGTTAGAAATAAAAAAAAAAGGATTTCCAGAATGCTTCCATCAATGGAAACGACGATGGATAAACTGTGTAGCTTCAAAAGGGGACTACTTCGAAGTAAATTAAATGACGAATTGATATAGGTTATAGTTTTTTTTTATAGCACTAGTCCCGATAATTTTTTATCAGACCTCGTATATATAATTGTAGACCGCTAAAAAGGAGAAAATTGCTGCTTATCGTTTCTTTTTGCTGAGTGTTTTGCCACTCATAGAAGATGAACCATTCGCAATAAAATAAAAAAGACCATTAAAATGATTTGATAATTTGCCTAATAAAATACATTGTCATACTTCTTTTTTTTTTTTTTTTTTTTGTTTTGTCTTTTCATAATTCCCGATCTAAGAACTTAAGGAAGATAAAATTTAATAATTTTTCGTTTCTCGTAGGTGGGTACCATATGCTAAAATTTCAT